TTGACTTGAGGGTTTGTGTTGAGAAGTCTGCTGTGGTTCTGATGGGCTTTCCTTTGTAGGTGATTTGTTTCTTTTCTCTAACTGCTTGTAGGATTTTGCTCTTCTGTTGGATTTCTGGGATCTTGACTATTATATGTCTATGTGTAGATTTTTTTTATCATGGCTAGTTGGAGTTCTATATGCTTCACTTATCTGTATGTCCAATTCTCTACTTCTGTCTGGGAATTTTTCTACTTCTATTACTTCTGTGAACAGTTTTTTATGTCAATTGTACATTCTCCTGTTTTTTTGTGGACTCCTATCAGTCTTATGTTATTCTTCTTTGCATCATCTAGCAGCTGCTGGATTGATTTCTCTTAGTCCCTTGCCATTTTTAAGAAACCTCTGTTTTCATGGTCACTAACTGCAGTCTTGTCTTCTATATCTGATACTCTATCTTCACATTCCCTTAATCTACTGTTAATGCTTTCAATGGAGTTTTTAATCTCCTGGACATCTGTTTGAATCTGTTTCATTGTTTCCATTTCTTTCTTATGCTGGGCATTCATGGCTTCCAGCATCATTCTGAACTCATCTATTTTTTTTATCTGTTTCTGTTCTAGAGCCTCTAATCATGACTTTCACTCTGTTCACCATCTCTGTAGTTATCTGGGAAATTATTTCTGCTTTGAATTTTTCTAGAGCCTCATTCATCTGTTTTGTTACTTCCTGTGCTATCAGTTCAGGGTGTCTAGGTGTTTGAGTACCACATTTTCCCACCTCATTTCCCCCAGGATTTGCCTTTTGAGGGGTGGAAGCCTGAGTTTCTGCTTTGCTTAAATGTCTTCTCAGTTTTGTTTTTGGTACTGCCCTTGGTTTAATTCCTAGGTTGATACTTCAAAATTGCTTATTGTAAGTATCTTCATTGCTTGTGTTTAGAACCCTTGTGGAATGATTGCTCTTCAGAGGAGTCTTCCAGATATAGCTGATCTTTAGGTTTTGAGTCTCTAATGACTCTGAGGCTGTCTCATTTTTATTATACCAGGAAGGCAATCACAACATCTTAGCCCAAATGATACAATCAGCAACACCATAGCATCAAGTACAGCTTAGAAAAATGACAATTTGTGGTAGTTATTAATCTATCACCTTTAACTCTGTGAATTAAATCAAAATCGAGGACCAACCCAACAAATGTTTATAGTGAATAAACTCTTCAATATAGCAACTTTACCCTTCAGGATGAGGAGTTAGAAGGAGTGGGGGAGTGAGGGACAGATAGGTAGAAGGATCAGGAAAGGTTAGCAGTGAGGCCAGCAAACACAGGAATGTCATGCAAGCTCTAAGAAACTGTTGAAAGCAAGAGGAAAAGACAGAATGAAAGAACAAAGATGAGAACAGAGCCACCTAACAGCAATAGGGAGACTAGATACTGTATTTACTTTTCTTTAAAACTAACGATAATCGAGAGAAGGAAAAAGAGAAAAAAAGAAAAATAAAGGAGAAATCTGAATTAGGTCCAGAAAGGAACACAAAGGGAGATGAAGAACAATGTGGGACAGTGAGAGAATGAGTGAGAGAAAGAAAAGTGAAAAGAAAAAGAAAAAAGAAGAAGAGAAAAATAAAAATTTGAAAAGAGTAGAAAAAATGAAAATTAAGAATTAAAAATAAGAGAAAAAATTTTTTTGCAAATAACAAAAAATAAAAATGAAGAGCCTCCTTCAGGGTATGTCTCTGCTCTCACAATAGACAATGTGGGCAGCCTTGTGCAGATACAATTCAATGAGGCTCAGTAAGCCATTAGCAGACCTGTAAGATTCAGGCAGATTTCTGGCTCCTAGTCCCAAGTTGAGCTCCCTGTCCTCCTGCAGGGTTGAACTCTGCAAGGTTTTACTGCAGGTTCCAGTTGCCCTTCCCCTGAAGATAGTCCAGGTTCTGAAGGTTATTATCCCTCCACTTACCAAGTACAGTGGTCTGATGTGCCTTTATTGCAGAGATTCTCTTCACTTGTCCATTGGGCTTCAGTGGACACCGAGGGGCCTGAGAGAGGCCCTCTTTCTGTTGCTCACTTCTGCTCTATCATGTGGAGCTCAGGACAATGGCCTTTATGAGCCCCTGTGCCTCTGTAGTGTGGAACCAGGTAGCAGCAGAGCCAGGAGGCAGGGGGACAGGGAGGAGGACCAGACCCATGCAGCTAAGCTGGTCCCATTGTACAGAGCATGGGAATGGAGTGGGGACTCTGAGCCATGCTGGGGTCCTCACCCTGTGCCTTCTGGTCAATATATATATATATATATATATATATATATATATATATATATATATCCGCACAAAGTGGAATGACTGAGTTGTTGTAATGCGATGTTTCTAGATAAATTTTTCTGCCTGAAACAGATTCTTGGTCTTGAATACATAGGAAGATCACTTAGCTGTGATATCCCATTATGTTGAGGGTTTGTGTTTTGTTTTGTTTGTACCTATGGCCTCTTTTTTCCTCACTCAGTTTTACTGTCTTCTCTGAAAAATTGTTAGCACTCTGCTTTCCATCTTCTTTTATTTTTATTGAATCCAAATGGAACTTACATTTTCATGGTCACTGATTATTTTGAATGAGCAGTTTCCCTGATCTAACCTTAGTCAAGTTAGTTCCAGGGATCAAATCCTCTATTTATTCACTCACTCGTTGATTCTGTCCTTTATACAGCAAACATTGAGTGACAGCTGACAATTGTGTGCCAGTCTTTGTATTAGGTCCGTGGTGGGCAAAGATCAATAAGGAATGACAACTTTATACAGGAGCTCACAGCAAGCGGGAAGAAAAGACGGAATTCGGCAATTCTGGTGTAACCTTCATAGTGGGGTGTTACTGAGAAATCATGGAACTGGGAGTCCCCAGATAAATAGGGGATTTGGAGGAAGTGGCACAGAAATTGTGACATTGAGGCTGAAACTTCTGTTTATTTCTGTCTTTAAAAATGCATTACCTTTAGAAATTTCAGAAAACATAAGAAACAGGAGAACAACCTATCATCATCCTACAAAGATACCCATGGTTATGATGTCTCAAAGATACCTGGTGTTATTTTCTGAGATCAACTTCTGCATGGATGAACTCAGACTTTGTCAACAATCTTGTTACATTACACAAAATACATTTCCCACATCTTAAAACCTTTAAAAATATTTTCATCTGGATAGCATTATTCTATGCAGAAATACTACAATTCACTTTATCATCCCTCTGTTAGTTGTTTCCCTCTTATGAATAACACTATGATGAGTTTCTCTGTATATAAATATTAGTCCATTTTCTCAATTGTTTCCTTAAGAAGAAACCCAAATGGTGAATTATAGATGAAAGAGTACAATCATTTTTAAGACTCTTGACATTCTCGTCAGTGCTCATTTCTTTCCTGATCTCAAGCTCAAGCCCCTAAGAGAGTCAGATTACAAATACGAGGATGTTCTTTTAAGAATTTTATACTTTCCTGTGTATGAGTATATGTGTTATACACATATGTGCAACAGAAACACACACACACACATCCTGACTCCCTCCTAAGAGGCAATGTGTGACTGCCTCTTGTCTAACCCAGTGGACTGTATTTGTTGGTATTTTTTGTTAGTGGTAGTTTTCTTCTATCCATCTGTAATCTCAGGGCCTGGTGTATGGTAGGAAGCTACTATATGCTGCTTGAGTAAAAGAGAAAGAAGAAAACTGAGACTATGAAATAATAATGTTCATCTTTTAATATCATCTTTTGTTCGTTTTCAGCATTCAGGAAGACATGGTGGTAAACCCTGGCCCTAACTCTTCATGATTGAAGAACTCTTTTGCACAACACAAAGGTAAATATTTGAGTCTGCCTGGGTTTTGCTGGTGCAAGAAAAATACTCTCTTTGGAAAAATTGCTCACAAGTATCTCTTGGTTCTCATCGCAGGATGGCTTTTGTGCTTTGGTTTCAGTTTAAAACAGGGTAGAAGGTTTACCCAGCCATTGAGAATAGGTGCTTAGTGTGGCTTCTCTCTGTGCTACATTGTATTTGTGGTCGAAAGGGCAATATTGATCCTCTCTTTTCTTTTCTTTAAGTACCTAGTAAATGTCATTAGGATCCTTAAGTTTTCCTGTCTGGATTTTAACCTCCTCTAATAGATTTTCTCAGCTTGGTTTGATTTTAGAAAGGATAATGTTGCCTTTGTTTTCTCAAATGCCTGCCATTTCAGGGTATTTCACCAACAAAAGAAACCATTCTTGGTTGTGGAAAATAAAGTCAAACCATACATAAGATAAATGTTTCTACATAAGAAGCAGACCTGGAGATTTATGAGCTTAAGAGACAAGTACTATTATTTTGAGGTCCTAAACTTTTAAATGATGGTAGCACTGAATTATGTATTTTATACAGAAGCCAGGAAGGCACAATTGAAAACGCCTATTCTTTTGACAAATTACAAGCATTCATTCCAATATCTATTTCTTGTTTACTGGGGATAATGCTGAATGAATCACAGACTGGTGGATGGATGTTCCTTCCAACACTTTTAATTAGCAGCACTGCCTATTAGGATGAACAGAGTGTTGTTTTTCGGCCATAGATTACCCCTAACCCCCCTTAAATGGAATAGAAATCTTATTCTCCACAAGGTAATATTCATCTCTTCCCCAGCCAGACAAGCATAGAAAATTAAACAATGGTCTGTTAAAAAGCTCAGATAATGTATTTATCATTTCCAGTTTATGTGAGTTTGCAAGGCAAATACGAGTGGGAGCTATTTGTTATGGGACCTTGGGGAAGAAGGGACTGGAGAGGGCGGTAGGAGGCTGGAGGATATGAGACCTGTGAAAATTCATTAAAAATATGCGGCGCTATTGGAGACAGAGGAAATTAATTACTCTGAGGGTTTCAAATGTCACTACTCATTTAAGTGACCTGGCGAGCAGGCTGAGAACCCTTTTTCTTGAGAGTTTGTGTAGTGGGGGAGGGAGGGAGCCAGGATTCCTCTACTGTCAATTTTTGCATTTCCTAGGTGACTTATTGACATGCTCAGCTAACTCGCGCCCCAGCCTCCTCTAATGAGTAGAGTTAAATGAGAAATGCGGGTTGGAGTGGGAGAACCCTGGCCCTGAAGGCTGGCCAGGTTATTCAGATGAGCTTACCAGCCATGTAAGTAGCTGCCAGACAGAGAGGAAACCTATAATTTACCGCCGTGAAGAGAGGAGGTCGGTCATTTGAAGCTGGACTGAGTCTGGTCTTTTATTATTGCTTTTCCATCCACAAAGCTATTCTCGGAGGTGGAGTGAATTTGGAAAGACAAATTAAGGTTTTCTACCTAGGAAGACTGGGGAGCAGTAGCTTCCAAGAGCAGTCATCTTCTCTAGATTGCCTGTCTAATAAATCTCACAGATGCATTCTGTCTCCAGACAGAGGTTGAAAATATATAGATGTGTGATGACTTCAAAGTTTAAAATCAGCAAGCCCCAGAGTAATGGAGAAAAGCTCTCCCAGATGGGTGCCTCCCCTAGACTCAGGAGTCCCAGAGCTGCATCTGAGCCTGACCGTGAAGCAGCTTTGAGGCTCCATACATCAACCCAGCCCTCCCTGCCCCAGCCTCGTTGGATACTCACCAAATGGGAACAGTAATATCTATCTTACCTGACTGTGAATACCAGTGTGTCTAGAACACCCTTGAAATAGGCACATATCAGAGAGGTGTGTGGTATCCTCATCCATATCTATTATATTCTCTGTTAATCTATATACAGTATTCTGTTTTCTTTTTTAAACATTAAGGTAACTCAGTGGTCTAGGTTCCTGCCTGGGTCGAGGTTAAGGTACTTTGCAATATTTACCTGGTCTGCTCAGTTAGAAATGAAGCTAAAGAATAAGAAATATGGTCCTCAAGACTTCTTCAGGGAGAGACTACTCACTGGTTTGTATGTAAGCCTAACCTTGGAGGAAGTTGGAGCCCTGGATATCCACCTCCAGGGAGTCCGAAAGATACCTCTTCTCCAATGGGAAACAATGCTGTGCCTTAAAATGGAGACAAAGCACGCAGTTGATGGTGAGCTGCTGATGGAATCCTGCACCACTGAAGGTGGTGGAGATGGTGGAAGGGTGTTTATCTCTTCCTGGGAAGAGATGATGATGAAGTAAACTAGAGTTGAGTCCATGGGCTGGAGAGGAGTTTTGAGAAGCCTTCGAAGGGAAAGAATTCAGGCTTCAGTAACCAGAATGGTGTACAAGTACAAGTGGGGGCAGACAGTCACTCTAAGCTTGAGAGTGATCGGCAGGCAATTGTAATGTCATTGATATAACCATGGCCAAATTCAGGGTATAGTCCCTCACCTCAAGAAGCTCAGAGAGATAAACAATTTCTTATACAGAGGAGACAGGAATAAGCCACAAGAAGCAATGCTTGGCAAGGGGTGAGAGTGAGGTGCTGGGCCTCCAAAGATGAAGTGCTGGATGAGAAGGGCTTCAAGGCAGACGTTCTACAGAAGACCAGCTGCTCACAGTGGCACTGAGCCACAGCTGGTGTGAAAGATGCACACCTGCCCTATCACATTTCTTCAGTAAGCAGAGATGTGCACACCAACATCCACACAGTGATTTTTAAAGCCTTCCACACTGCTCTTTTCTCTTAGAAGTGGACATGGGGAATTGGCTGTCCATCCTCACTAGTCAGCCCTGGAGTGGCTGAGGTGCTGTCCTGTCCTGAGAAAGCCTAGAATGCACAATGAATAACTGCTAATATCATCAAGGCCAAAGGTTCCTTTGAGCTTTTTGGCCACTTACCTTTTAAAACTGCTTGAATGTCTGTAATTAACATAATGGAGCTGTTAGCTGTTCAGTTGTTACTGTATATTAATTTTATTTTTCCACCTTTATATTTATTTATAGCCATCATAGATGAGACATTTATGCCTTTCTATTTGACTAATAAGATAGTAAACTGCAAGAAATTGTTCCTGCTAGTCTTCCTCTTTTTTCTCTTTACTCCTTCATTGCTTCTTGTATACTTTTTCATGTTTTTATTTGCTTGAATTCCCTCTATTTACCTTTATGTTTTTTCTCTTCTTTCATATATAATCATGAATTGTCTAACTTAAAAAGAAAAGGGAGACTCTAGATACCAGGAAGTTCAACTGTGAAAATTTGGAGCATTCTTAATACTTGGTAATTGTCCTCATCTGTCTTTTTCATATCTGTGATGGGGTTGCTTTCCAAAACTGAACGTCTTGGATTCAAACCTCTGCTCCAACTCACAACAGCCTTCTAACAGTGATCAAATCAATGTCTTTAAGCTTCAGTTTTCACATCAGTAAAATTAAGGTGACAATCATACTTTTCCTGCAGGATTGTTTTAAGAATTAAATAATATGGGGACAGGGATTTAGCTCAGTGGTTCCATCGCCTGCCTCGAAACCAGAAGGTCCTGAGTTCCATCCCCCATACCAAAAAAAAGAATTAAATAAGATAATGCATGGGGAAAGGCTTGGCACATTAAATTCCAAATTTATAATGTTAGCTACTATTATTGCTTATAATAGTACATCCATCACTTATAAATCTTTAAAATACCAAAGGTAGATGTTTTAGTATTTGGCAACAAGGAAAATAGAAGCTGGGGAGAGATTCCCTGACTCTAAGCTGGTCTTAGAAAATGGAAATTCCTAGGAACATAGGCACTGAAGGCAGCTGAATCTGTGGGTGCCCAGGGACCCTTCCTGGTAGAGTGGCTGGGTGCTGAACAATCAGAAGGCCTGCAGGTTTCTGAGCTTCCACTCAGCCTGTAGAGAACATCTGGGTCAACCCTCTCCCTGCTCCAGTATTGCTTCCCAGGTAGTGTGGGAGCTTTGGGATATGCCGTCTTGGCTAGTTTGAATTGCATCGCCTACAGTTTAGTTCCTTGTATGTTTCCAGTTAGGTGGGCCATGGAGAGTCTTGGGAGAGGCAGAGGACAGAAACGAAGCAGTGGCCAATTTGCTGCTCACCTGCTGTTGTTGATCTGCAGACTCACCTAGTTAGCCTGAGGTAGTGACTAGAGCTGCGACTGTTCTCCCTTTACCCTTGATTTCTTCTCAGCATCTCCACCTTCTTGAGCAGATGTGTGTGTGTGTGTGTGTGTGTGTTAGTTTGAATCCTACCACTATAACAAAGCACCTGAGATGATCATCTTATTGAGAGAGAGAGTTTACTTTGGCAGTTAGTTTTAGAAGTTCCAGCCCATGAGCAGTGACCCTATTAATTTGAGCCTGTGGTAAGGCAGCAGTCATGATGGGAGCACATGGTAGAGAAAAACTACTCACCTCATGGCCAGGAAGCAAGACAGGAAAAAGAGGTGAGTCCTACAATGGCTGTTGAGGCTACACCCCCCCAGTGACCCAAAGACCTCCCAAGATGTCACTCCTCTTAAGGGCTCCACTCCCTCCCAATGTCGCCACATGGGACCAAGCCTTTGATGTGGCCCTGTGGGAAACATTCAAGATCAAAACCTGAACACTGTGCTTTATGCCTCAACAAAGCCCTTGGCTTCTACAAGTCACCCACATCAACAGTCTGGGAAGCAGTGAAAACCAAGGCTCCAGTTTGCACTGGATTTCATCTCATGCTTGAGGGCTCCAGACTGCTTCTGATTTCTGCATTTGTATCCATCCTCCCTCCCTGAAGTCCTGCTTCACCACCTCCAAACTCAATCCTCAGGCAGGAAACAACAGACTGCCTAACTAACTCCCACAATTGTATAAAGCCAAATACATTCAGTAAATAATGCATTTTTATTTATTAAATATATACGTACAGTATATATTATTTGTTTGTTACAGGAACAGAATCAACTGATCACT